GACTGAAGCTGTCTGGGGGCCATAAGCTAAGGAATGTGGGCAGCCTCTAGAAGCTGGAAAGGACAAGGAAAAGAATTTTCTTCCCGTAGCTCCAAAAGCAAGTAGGGCTGCCTTCACCTTGATTTTAGCCCTGCAGGACTCATTTCTGACTTCTGACCTCTGGAATTGTAACACAATAAACTTGTATTAAGCCACTAAATTCACAGGAGTTTGCTATGGCAGCCATGGGAAACTAATACATGTTGATGTAGGAAAAACGTGAGGGTTCAGAGCCCACCGCCAAGAACGCATTCTTGAGACGTCTTTGGTGCAAAGAGTTGGTTTTATTAAAGCACAGGGACAGGATCCGTGGGTAGGAAGAGCTGCACCGGGGTCATGAGGAGCGGCCCATTATATACTTTCAAGTTGGGAAAGAGTTAGAGATAGCGTTAAGTCTCTAAGGAATTTTGGAAGCAAGGTTTCCAGGACCGTGAGGGGGCTACCTATATGCTAGGCAAAGGTCATTTTTAAAAAGATTTTATTTATTTATTTATTTATTTATTTATTTATTTATTTATTTATTTATTTATTTGAGAGAGAGAGAGAGAGAGAGTGTGTGCGCACGCGCACGGGGGTCGGAGGAGAAAAAAGGAGGAGGGGGAGAGGGAAAGCAGACTCCCTGCTGAGCAGGGAGCCCAACGTGGTGCTTGATCACGGGACTCTGGGATCATGACTTGAGCTGAAGGCAGACGCTTAACCAACTGAGCCACCCAGGTGCCCCAGAAAAGGTCATTTATTACTGTCTAATAAAACCTGAGTCATGATGTATATCGGTGGGTCATATGCCTGGGGGATGATTGCCAACATGTATCTTGGGAGGGGGATAGAGATAAAGGAAGTGTCCAAAGGAATTTTTATATGTTAAAGTAGACTTACAGGATTCTGGGGGTCAGGCTAAGATTGTCTTTTGCCCTTAGCAAAGTATTAACACTGAAGCAGCTGAGTCCCTAGAGGAATGTCACTCTGCCTGTTTCAAGGACGTGTCAATGCGCTGTAAGTAGTAAGGAAATTTAATAATTTTTCTTCTGCCTTTGTTTCCCACATATATGATGTCTGACACTCAGATCCCTCCACTACACAGGATCCAAAATTCATGCAGCAATTCTTGGTAATGCCATCCCTTTACCAAGTGGTGGTAGGTTCTGGTTATAAATAACAGACATGAAGAAAAGGAGTTGCTACTGGCCCTGAGGTTCTAAGTGCCAGCCTCACAAGGGCATGTGGAAAGACCTCACAGTCTTCAAGAGCTTCCTTTTTGCTCTCTTTATAGCACTAAAGCATCCTAAATCTATTACTTCATTATCTATTGAGCACCTACTATATTCCAGGTTCCAGAAATTCAAAGACTGAGTAGGACTCAGCTCCTTAAGGAATTTAGAACCTAGCAGTGGGCAGAACACATAAACAAACTAGTACAATGCAACAAGATATGTGCAAAGACAAAAATATCTTTGGGAAAAGAATTCTAGTGTATGGAAAATATCAACTCTGCCAGTGGGTGGTGGGGTGGGGGAGAGGGAGTAAGGGTTTGGAAAGGGTTTGATGTCACAGCCTGGGGGTGACTAACATCTTCGGAATCCCCAATTTTGATGGCAGTTCTGACACCTAATTTAGGTCCCTGTCTCCAGACTTGGTCTCTGTCAGGGTTGTAGACTCTATGGAATCTCTTTGTTTCAAATTTCAAGCTGTGGAGGGAGGGAGACCCTGAGAGGAAGAGTCCAGGAAGGAGAAGAGTGCCTGATACCCAGACGAGCAAATGTTTGGAGGACTGGAGATCCATTCTCCATGATTTCCATGGAACTTCAAGAGAGATAAAGAAAGCGAAAGGTTTTGCAGGCATTCAGAATAAGTAGCCCTAAGATGTGCCACTTTGGCATGCAGATTATTTTGAGCTAAAAATAATCAAGGACCAAAAGACACAGGAAGAAATTCTGAGCTTCCCCTCTAGCTGCCTAAAGGAATTTAGATAGAGGATCTACTCAAGGAACAGAGCCATCACCACAGAGAACTACATTAAAATATGAACTAGGCGTAATAGAGAGAAAACTAGCAAGGCCTATTTGATCAAAGCCCTCTCTATGTCCCATTGTTTCTGGACGGCCCAGCAAACTTTTTTTTTTTTACCATTTACTCTTTCTTTTCTTCCTGTGAATTGTCTTCCTTTCCTTTGAAGCCCCAGACTCCTACCCCTTCTCCTTAGTTTAGGATGACATATATGCCTCTGTTTGGGGGCACCTGTGGCTAGCTCAGTTGATAGAGCATGAGGCTCTTGATCTCAGAATTATGAGTTCAAGTCCCACACTGGGTGTAGAGCTTACTTAAAAAACAAAAACAAGGGCGCCTGGGTGGCTCAGTCGTTAAGCGTCTGCCTTTGGTTCAGGTCATGATCCCAGGGTCCTGGGATCGAGTCCCATATCGGGCTCCTTGCTCCGCGGGAAGCCTGCTTCTCCCTCTCCCACTCCCCCTGCTTGTGTTCCCTCTCAGGCTGTGTCTCTTTCTGTCAAATAAATAAATAAATTCTTTAAAAACAAAAACAAAACCCAAAACATATGTACGTCATTTTTCCTGACTTGTCTTTGGAATCTCATGTTTATTTGGATTCCCTCATGTACAAAATGAAATTTGACTTTCCTCTGTTAATCTGTCTCTTGCCAATCTGATTTTAGACCAGCCAGAAGACCTTAAAGGGCAAAGGAAAGTTTTTCTTCCCCAACAGTTTCACAAATTGTAAAGTACCAGCTAAATATAAAGTATTGTATCCACTTGCTTAGGATTCAGGCTTACACACTGGGAAATTCTGTCTCTAAACTAAGTCAATCTTTCCATTAAGAAAATACACACAAGGGTCACCTGGGTGGCTCAGTCAGTTAAGTGTCTGCCTTTGGCTCAGGTCATCATCCAGGAATCTTGGGGTCAAGCCCTGCATCACATTGAGCTCCCTGCTCAGTGGGGAGTCTGCTTCTCCCTCTCCCTCTGCCCCTACCCCCTCAGCTCATGCTCTCTCTCTCCCCCTCTCAAATAAATAAATAAAATCTTAAAAAAAAAAAAAAAGAAAATACACAGAAGCTGTGGACATAAAAACTAGGTCTATGTTTGCTGGGCAATACCTAACATGGTCCATTTAAAATACATTAAATTTGGACACAAGGATTTATCACACAAATTAGGGCATAATCCCTCCTCATTATGACTTTCCATCCCTAAATTTACTTAATCCTGAGAAAATATACACACCATTTCCCGAGAAACACTGGTATACTAGGAAACTGGATTTTAAAGCTGGAAAGGACTTTAAAGATAATTTAATGAGAGCTTTTTTTTTCATGAGAGATAATTTAAAGGTAATTTAGTGAGATGTTGGTGGGGTTGAACGTCCTTCGAGGTTATAGAGATAGGGGTAGTGCCAAGATTAATACCCAAGTCTCCCAACTCCCAGCCCCAAAGTTCTTGCCCATGTGCTGTACTTCTGGCTTAGTTTGTATCAAGGTTTATCTGGACTTACTATTTTGTTCCCAACAGTTTTAGGCAATCACAAGTGTGCTTTTTTAGTGCAAGTCTTTTTCACAAAATAAGTTTATTTATCAGAGCTTTAAATTTCTTTTACCAATTTTACATATGAAGAAAGATAGAAATAGTAAACATTCAGGAGAAAAGGTAGCATAAATCAACCCAAAATAATTAAACACTTCATTAAATCTTTCTTTCATTATAGATAAGTGCATAAAGTGTTTCATTTATAATATTTTCCTATAAACCCATGAAGCATTAAATCTTTGTGAAAATTTTCCTCGAAGTATAAAGTGACATTTTTCTTTTCTTTTTTAAAGATTTTATTTATTTGAGTGAGAGAGAGAGAGATCACGAGCAGGGGTAAGTGTAGAGGGAGAAGCAGACTCCCCGCTGAGCCAGGAGCCTGATGTGGGGCTGATCCCAGGACACCGGGATCACGACCTGAGCCAAAGGCAGACTCTTGAACGACTGAACCACCCAGATGCCCGAGTGACATTTCTTCTATGATAAATAGGATACATGTCTAAGTACCAAAAAGGTTTAGTTAGAGAAGAGGCTTGGCTCAGTTATGCGGGCTTTGCTAGAAGAGGTCGTGATTGCCAAGAAGGAGGAATCTCTACTCTTGGGTCCATTTATTTGATATCAGCTGTCATAGCTGGGGCTTCACGAAGGAAAGAGTACATCCATATCCTATTAAGTCTAATATGTAAAAGGACATTACCAAGGGATGTTACTACCCAATTTTCCCCCTATTGTTATTATGTCAACCACAGATTTTGGGAAAGTGATTTTCCACTTCAGTTTATCATATTGCTTTTGCTGAGTAATTCAGTCAACTGGGGTAACCCCCTATAGTATTTATTCTCATTTAACTGGAGGAAGAAAACCTAAACAATTCACGGCGTCTCTCAACGTGGTTTTCAAAAAAAAAACCTCAGAACGTTGGAATCCAGCCCCTTTCGGTGGAAACCACAGGTGACTGACTACAACAAAGACACCTTGGCGCACCGTTCCCCTCGCCGGCCCACGCTCGGGAGCAGCGCCCTCGCGGAGGCAGTGTGGAGGCGCCCCTCTGGGAGCCGAGCGCCCTCCCGGCCGGCTGACCAGTGCTGCCCCGAGGCTGGAGGCGGCTGCGCCAGGCCCCCCGGGCCCCCGCCACGCCGCGCAGCCGCCGGGGTCGACTGGGCGCGCGCGCCGGGGTCAGCTCGAGGACGCGGGCGGGGCCGGGAGGCGGAAGGGCCGGCCCGGGGCGTGCCCACGTGACCGCCTCGCCCGCCGCCCCCCAGCCGCCGCCGCCTCCGCCCCTCGGGCTGCAGCTCCCGGCGTGCCCCGCACTCGCCGCCGCGCGCACGCCCCTCCCTCTCCTCCTGCCAGTGCCTCAGAGCCGGAGTCGGAGCCGCCGCCGCAGCCACAACCGCGGGCACTATGGTAAGGCGGGCGCGCCGCCCCGGGGGGCCGAGGGCCGGGACGCGTCGAGCAAAACCCCCGCGCGGCCCTGCAGGGCCCTGGGAGTGAGGCCGCCATTTTAACCCGATGTACGCCTTAAAGGTGTGGGCTCCAGCGCCTGCGGCCCCGCTGCTCTCTTCTCCAGCCAGCTGGCCGGCCGGGCCTCCCGCCATCAGGCCGGGCCCCGCCGCTCTTCGGATTCCTGAGGGCGAGGAGGACGCGGGTCGGGGGCCGGGGCCGGGGCTTAAGCCGGACACGAGGCGTCTGGAGAGGTCGAGGCACTGGGAGCGGCGGCCCGCGGCGCGGGAGGGTCTGCGGGGCTCGTCCCGCGCCTGCCGAGTTTGCGCCGGGCTTCCTTATTTTACTTAGCGCTCGCCTCTGAAATTGGTAAGTGCTCTAAAGCCCTGCCGAAGGCCTTCGGTTGAGGGTCTTGGTGGCTGTAATAAAACCCCTAAGAGGAGATAAAGGAGGGGAGAAAACGCTTCTTTAAAATGCCTTTTCGCCGTAAAAAGCGTTTACACTAGCTCCGTTAGTTTGGAAGTGTCTGCGTTTGAGCTGTGAGGCAATTATGTTGTAGCCGTGGGCGGTTTGGAGTTCACACTTGATTCTCTTTCCTTATGTGGAAACGGCACTGGCTAGGATGACTTTAAAGAAAAAAAATAGTAGAAGCTTTAACTGAAATCCAAAAGTGTTTTTTTAAGGCCTGCAGAGTTGACACAATACAGAAGGTATTTTTGCTGTTGCTCCTGAAGCTCTGACATCACCCAGTGAAATAGGAAACATTTCAGCGATGGGACAGCTTGTATTTGTCCCTTTCCCTCTACCTTCCATTTACTTCAACCTCCAAACCCCTTTAAAAAGGGTGAATGGGGAAGGATGAGTTAGAATCCTTCGGTGCGTCTCGTATAACTGGTATTTAAAATGTGGCAAATCTGATTGGACTGCTTGCGTGGTACGATGCAGTTTTTGATGTCCAGATTAAAGTGAATCCTTCCTAGGCAAACAGTAATTTTGGTTAAAACCGAAATACTTGTTCTGAATTACTGTTCTTTTTTTATTTCAGGCTTCTGGAGTTACAGTGAATGATGAAGTCATCAAAGTTTTTAATGATATGAAAGTAAGGAAATCTTCTACACAAGAGGAGATCAAAAAAAGAAAGAAAGCAGTTCTCTTCTGTTTAAGCGATGACAAAAGACAAATAATTGTAGAGGAAGCAAAGCAGATCTTGGTGGGTGACATTGGTGATACTGTAGAGGACCCCTACACATCTTTTGTGAAGTTGCTACCTCTGAATGATTGCCGATATGCTTTGTACGATGCCACATACGAAACAAAAGAGTCTAAGAAAGAAGACCTAGTATTTATATTCTGGTGTGTAAAAACAAAAGAAAAAGTACTTTTAAAATGCAAGGATTGTTATTAACATAGTCAGTTTTGCCTTTGTTTTTCTTTTAAGTGGGATTCAACAATTGTGTTGTTTTTGTTTTTTTTTCTGTAGGGCTCCTGAAAGTGCACCTTTAAAAAGCAAGATGATTTATGCTAGCTCTAAAGATGCCATTAAAAAGAAATTTACAGGTACAAACATTAAAAATTTTGTGCAGAGGAATTACTCTTTCTTAATTATAATAAGATAATGGGATAATGTTTTTCCTTTTTAGGTATTAAACATGAGTGGCAAGTAAATGGCTTGGATGATATAAAGGACCGTTCAACACTTGGAGAGAAATTGGGAGGCAACGTAGTAGTTTCACTTGAAGGAAAACCCTTATAAAATGACAGTCAAGTGCCATCTGGATCTTAAGGAGCTTCCATTTCTCCAGCTCAATCAATTGAAATAGTATTAGGTGTTTGTTTTTTTGTTTTTTGTTTTTTTTCTTCTTTCTCTTCCCACTGGGTCCTTCCAATACCGTGAATGAAGGAAATATCATTCATGTAAGCAGCCTATCAGTGATTGCCATTAGACTGTTTAATACTGTTATTTTTATGTAGAACCCAAGGAATGCCTTCCCATCATATTTTAGCCAAAACAACTGGTTATATGCCTCCCTTGCAGCAAGCACTACAATGAAAGTGATTGTCAATGTGAATAGCTTAGAATACTGCAAAGGGTAAGCTGATTGAATGCCTTGAAAGTATTATCCACTGGTCAGATGGTAAACTTTATTCAGTATTACTATTTATAGTTGCACTTGATTGCAGTTCTGTGAGGCTCAAGCATTCATACACCTCACCTGCCTTGGCAAGCCTATTTTTGTGACATGGCAGCACAGATATAACACTATGCATTTGAAAGCACTTTTTTTGTAATGAGTTTAGCCCCCTACCCCCCCGAAAAGGAATGCCAATTAAGTTTTGTTAACTGTGTCATCAACTTATCCTAGTACCTCAGTATTCATTCCTGTTACCTGCGTATCTTAAAAGAAATAGCTGTTACTAATGCCTTTTTGTTTTCCATTGAGTGTACACTACTGAATAAGTGTAGGAGTTTACGTTTACCATGTAAGTTTTGCAACACTAAAAATATTTTGAATATCAGTCATGATGGCAATTTCTGTATAAAAGAGCCTTAAATGGAAAATTGTTTTTGAGATCAGACTCCCCACCCTCACAATAATGGCCACGTTGCAATAAAAATTGTGGCATATTACAGAACGTTGCCTTGTTTTCCTTGGACATTTTGCAAAATGTTATGTGAAGCAAATTTTAGGGTAAACAGCTATTATTAATCTTTGCACTGGTCATTTACGAATTTTTTTGTACAACATTCATGATATTTTCCAGTTTGTTGAGTTTAAAAAATATTCTAAAGCCAATTAATAGAAAATATTATTGTTATAGAGGGATACTTTTATAAGCATTACTTTATTTATTTCCTTATATGTTAATATGAAGATCAGAAGTTATTTTTTGCACTTTGACATAAATATTCTTCAATACCAGGTTTGTTCTCTGGGTAAATTAGGGTAGTTATTTTTTAATTCACGTTTGCACTTCTGAGTAATTGAGTAGTAGAAGCAGGGAGCTCTTACTGCATATTTGGTCATAATGAAAATCATTTATAAAATGTCCTTCAAAAGTTAATACTTTTCATGTTTAGGAACTTTTATTTCAGCTATTACTTCTTAATTTATTTTGCAAATTGAAAAAAAAAATGATGTAGCAGTCTTAAACATTAGTAGTGGGATTTGGCTGTGGTCCAGAGTGCTCTCCTTATAGAGAATTTGATCTGCTCAGTGTGAGCAGTTTGCTGTTAGCCAGAGCTATTTATGGCAAACACATGCTTTTGTATCTTGTCATAGTTATCCACAAATGGCAAAACTGGACTTGATTCTACTGGTATGCAAAACAGGCATGCTAGTAAGCAGTCAATCGTGGCTTAGAACTTAACCCCATAGCTCTGAAGAGTGCTCTTCTCAGAAAACAGGAAACAAAAACTCCCTTTTTTTTTTAAATGTGTGAAAGTGATTTGAGTATAATTAGATATTTTCCCAGATTTTCAGAAGATTTTTTTCAGGTGGAAACAAAAATAGGAGTTAAATGTCTAGGCTTCCATTTAAAATTATATGAATGGCTTGGGATCTTTCTCACTGAGCCATCTTATTTCAGGCTTCCAGCTGTCCCTGTGAGTTATCCTGGACGTTTTTCATGGCTTTTTGGTAAGGTTAAACTCATAAGGAAAGTATGACAATAATGACATATACTAAACCGTATGTGTAACTGATTCTTATACCATGGAATTTTTCATTATTTTCCTCATTCTAAAAAATAAGGGACTCTAAATAAGTTATGTAGTATCTCTTATTTTTATAGCTGATTTATCAGCTTTCTTATATGCCTCATATAATAGTTTCAGAGGTCAAATATTGCTTTAAACTGTGGTACTTTGATTTGTTCGACTGACAGAACTGATACTAAGTTCATTTTTGAAATACATCTTTGTGCATAACGCCAAAAATAATGATAAAATTAATGGTTCACATGTTACTTGAGACTAATATGGCATTTGAAGTGATCATTTTATTTTACAGTCATTTACAATGAAACAATGTTCCAGTCAGCTTTAAAAGGTATACGGTGCTAATTAGTAAAATATTGCCCTCAATATTTTACTGCTAGCTTGCAAAATTATAAGTGTTTAAAAAAATAAAATGTATGAAAATATATAAAGCTGTTGAGATGTGTTTACTTATATTTCAGAACATTAAAATTTTAAAAACTAATGTTGCAGATCAAAGAGGCACCATTATCTTTAGTCTTTTTTAGGATTTTAGTTGGTATACTTGGTCATTTGCAGATAACAGTATTCTTTGAAAATTTGTAATTTATAGCGATTAATTTTAACATTTTCAGACAAATGGGAACAGTAGGCATTTGTCCCAAACTGGCTATCATCAGCTGTTGTTTTCAATCATTATCTAAAATAATGTGGCCAGCATTGTGTATTTAATGTCCCTTTTTAGTAGATTGAAAGAAAAGCCTCATATGTTTGAGTTTCCTGATATAGATCCTCTGTAGCAGCTAGTTTATGAAGTCTAGCAAATGAGTTTTGGGAGAAAATTATTTTAAGTGTTTCCTTATTAAGGAATAATCTCAGCAATGGTCAATCATAGAAGGGTTGGGAACACCCTTCATTAGGTTTACCACTCTGAAAAAATAATCTGGTTCTGCTCTTTAAAGGTCCTATTTTTGCTTGTACAGTTAATAATAGTTTGAGATCCAAACAAACATGAATATTAAGTTTTCTATGAATATTAAAACTATTAGAGATGTGCAGGCAGGCTCCAATGAACATTGCTTTTTCAGACAGCTTGAATTTATACATGTTCCATGTCTCATGTCAGCCAATAAAGATGTCTGAGGCTTCTCTTTTGCTCTAGAACATCCAAATTGCTTTTTTCCATGTAGAATTGGGAGTCATCCCTTCACTCCAATTTCTTGTCATAAAGCAATTGGGCAAATTATTCTTTCTGAGCCTCAGTTTCGTTTTTTTTTTTTTAATATAAGAATAATATTCATCATACCTCATTGTAGTGGATCAACTATGGAAATGATTTTTGGAAAACAGGAAAATGCTATGTAAACGTAATTTGGTTAAACCATTCTACGTGTAGTTAAATAGATAAAGAACCATGTTAAAAATAAGATTTGTTATAAGTCTTTGAACCTCTTCATTTTTGTAATTATTCCACTTAATCTCACAGTTTAAGGACAAATTAGCTGGTATGTGGCATTGGTTTTTCAGAATATAGTAAAGTGTAGCCTCTGAGTTGATGTTCGTGACTGCTCTTAATCTTTTTAGTGTAGTTTTCTTTTTCACGTATGACCAATCCATTAACTAGTCTTTTCCCCCCAAATAATTTTGAAGTAAAAAATAAAAGGAAATAAAGCTAGAGAAATATTGGTATGGAGTACTTGTCATGAGTCATGATCCAGGTTGTTGAAAACCTATGACTGTTTATTATTAATATCCTAAATTTATATAGTCCTTTGTATTTGTTAAGACACCTGAAACTCATCTAATCCCCTTAGGTCCTCTTAACCAGCTAACCATATTCCTCTGCTACACATGAAGAAACTGAAGTCTGGAGAGGTTAAGGGACAGCTCAGCTATTGAGTAGCAAAGCTGATTCCGGTCCAGTATACTTTTCACTCTGCATTTATGTAACATACAGTGAGTTACTAATTTTCTTTTTTTAAAAAATGAAATAATCTCATTTTCTTCAACAGGACATAATTAGTATGTTTTCAAAATAGTGTCTCAAGAATATTTGAAAAATAGTCTTGGAATTTTTGTCTCCTAAGGAAGCCCATGGTCATAAAAGTCTGAAATAATTTTACACTTCAAAGATTTTCTTAGATGTTTCAGTATTGTCAGTTTGTGTAATTGTGGAAACCGTAAGGATTGGATAAACACATTTTCCAGAAAGCTGATACCTCTTGTTTTAAAAGAAAAAAAAATTTTTTTTTAAGATTTTATTTTTAAGTAATCTCTACAGATCCAACATGGGGCTCAAACTCACTACCCTGAGTTCAAGAGTCAGATGCTCTACTGACTGAGCCAGCCAGATACCCCAAGGCTGATACCTCTTATTCTTTTTCCAAAAACTTGGATATCTCCTTCCCCATGCTCCTCTACCCATCTTTCTAAGGAGAGATAGTATGGTGTATCATAGTGGTTAAGTACTAGAACTTTGGTATCAGACTGCTTGGGTTGTTCACATATTGGTCTTTAACACTTATTGAGTGGTCTTAGGAAAATCGACCTCTCAGAGCCTTAGTTCATATATAAAAGGAGATAATAATTATACTCTGTCTCATAAGATTTGAGGAAAATGAAAGCACCTTGAGTAGTTACTGGCACATAAAAAGTACTTTGTAGGATGATCCTAAAATTTGCAGCCCAAACCAGGACGTTTCTTGAGAGTAAAAGGGAGAGGTTTTTTGTTTTGTTTTGTTTTGTTTTTTAAGATTTTATTTATTTATTTGACAGAGAGAGAGACACAGTGAGAGAGGGAGCACAAGCAGGGGGAGTGGGAGAGGGAGAAGCAGGCTTCCTGCGGAGCAGGGAGCCCGATGCGGGGCTCGATTCCAGGACACTGGGATCATGACCTGAGCCGAAGGCAGATGCTTAACGACTGAGCCACCCAGGCGCCCCTAAAAGGGAGAGTTTTAATAATTATGCCAGGACAATAGGCTTAAGTTGGAACAGTCCCCAGCAAACCAGATGTGGTCATACTATCAAAAAGTAGGCTGATGTAGGGCTCCTGGGTGGCTCAGTTGGTTAAGCGACTGCCTTCAGCTCAGGTCATGATCCTGGAGTCCCAGGATGGAGTCCCACATTGGGCTCCCTGCTCAGCAGGGAGTCTGCTTCTCCCTCTGACCCTCCCCCCTCTCATGTGCTCTCTCTCTCAAATAAATAAAATCTTAAAAAAAAAAAAAAAAGTAGGCTGATGTCAAAATGTAATACTTAAATAGAGGAAACTGTATGAAAGACTCAAGGTCATTAATTTCAATTTTTTTTTTTTAAGATTTTATTTATTTGACAGAGAGTGAGAGCAGGAACACAAGCAGGGGGAGTGGGAGAAGGAGAAGCAGGCTTCCTGTGGAGCAGGGAGCCCAATGCGGAACTCGATCCCAGGACCCTGGGATCATGACCTGAGCCAAAGGCAGACACTTAACGAGTGAGCCACCCAGGCGCCCCCAATTTCAATTTTATAAGGTAGTAGTATGCTGACTAAGCTTCTCTTGAAGTATATGGTTACTTTTAAGTAATTAGCCTCAGAACAGTCAACTTTGGATTTTTTTTTAAAGATTTTATTTATTTATTTGACAGAGACACAGCAAGAGAGGGAACACAAGCAGGGGGAGTGGGAGAGGGAGAAGCAGGCTCCCCGTAGAGCAGGGAGTCTGATGTGGGACTTGATCCCAGGACCCTGGGATCATGACCTGAGCCGAAGGCAGTCGCTTAACCGACTGAGCCACCCAGGCGCCCAACTTTGGATTTTTTTATGCATTTTTTTTTGGTAATTATTTTTCTTTTTTCTTTTCTTTCTTTTTTTTTTTCTTTTTAATTAAGGATAGTGAGAGAAGCAGAGGAGGGGCAGAGGGAGAGAGAGAGAGAGACAATAAGCAGGCTCCACACCAAGTGCGGA